CATCCAAGATGAAGGAAGCTTGTTGACAATTGCACCAAAGATGAAGGTTTGATAAAGATTGATCTTTTCATCCTTCAGTTTCATAACAAGCTTTTCAAGCTCTTTAACTTGAGGCAAAACCTCAGTGTCATCTTCAAACTTCAAGTCTAGAAACTTGTCAACGAGCTGAGATTTGGACAACTTCTCCTCATCCTTGTACTGGTCCTCCAGAGCATTCCAGATTTTCTTTGTAGAAGGCTTGTTGGTATAAGCATCTGCCAAATGATCGGCTAGGCAGTTAAGAAGATAACTCCTGCAGAAGTGATCATCTCTAGCCCAAGAGGCTTCAGATTCAGAATCTTCTTCAGAGTCAGGTTTCTCCTCAGAAACCACATAGTATATTTTTAGGAGTTGCATCCCGAAGATTACTTTTCGATGTCATGCATTGAAGTTAGAACCATCAAAGATTTCTAATTTAAGACAGTCCACTCCAAGAGTCCTCACAGGATCCATGGAATATCAAAATAATGCTTTAAGATTGTTGGCGCCTGTGGTTAAATCTGGAATAATACAGATATATAACAGTGTAAAACCCCAAAATTTTATAATGAAATTATGTGAATAAATAGTAATAAATCTTTCTTTTGTGAAAAATAACCATATATATATATAAGATGTATATATTTATCAGTGTTTGAGAACCCAACAGGTGTTTTTAAGTGAGAGATATCGAGTGTAATGACCAGCATGTAAAAAGGCCTAGCAGCAGGCATTTTACAGCTGCGCGGTCGACCGACGCGGTCTACCGTGGCGGTCGACCGCGTCGGTCGACCGCACAACGGTCAGAGAAGTTTTCAGGTTTGGGTTTTTACGGGTTTTTGTTTTGGTCTTTTGGGTTTCGGGTCGGGTTGGGGAATTGGTACATATACTATTCCAACCCAGGAGAGCTCCTCTTCATCTCAGACCTAAAACCCTAGCCCCCATCTCTCTTCTCTCAAAACCCTAGCTAGATCTGGCGATTTGAGGAGTTCGGAGGAGTTTCAGGGGATTTTCGCAGATTTGATCGAAGGAGGATCATCTCCAGGGCAGTTGTCAGCATCTAAGGCGAGTATCATCTCGCCCAATCCCTCACCCCTGTTTTCTATGGTTTTCTCTTGGATTTTTATGAGTTTTGATGAGCCAAAATAGTATTTTTGTATAAAAAATGAATTCTCTATAATATGGTTAACAAAGATCAGCGATTTTAGTTTTCAAAAGTTCACCAATGTTCTGTTAACGAAGATCTAGATCTAAAATTTGCCTAAACAAGAGTTAAGTCATTTTTACAGTTATTAAAACGTTTTTGGTTTGTTTCTCATGGATTTAGAACATTGGAAATTTAGATTTCAAACTTGGGAATTAGTGTTTATCTTCAGTATGATTTTTGAATCTTTAAAACTCATGTTATTGTAAAATATCAAGTTTTATTTTAGGTTTAGCAGCTGACAGAAAACCCAGATTGGGTTTTTGTCCGCTTGGTGGTCGACCGGTGCGGTCGACCGCTGGGCTCGTTTTAGGGTTGCGGTCGACCGCAAGGTCATTCCGGTCGACCGCGACGTTCTGTCGGTCGACCGCGAAGCCGCAGCGGTCGACCGCCAGCCGCGTATCAGAGTGCGGTCGACCGGTGCGGTCGACCGCCACACTGTCTGTTGTAAGTATTTTACTCATGTTCGAGAGTTTGCCTGGATTATCTGACTTTGGTTTTTAGTCTCACTATGTATCCATGCATGATAGATGACCTGAGGGTATAAATTGGGGACTTATACACTGATTTGAGTGTGGATTGATATAAGTAGACTTCACTATATATATCACAGCGATATTTTCACTATTTCACAGTCCTCGTGTTGGACTATAATCCATAGAAGTCATCGTGTTGGACTATAATCTATTTCAGTCCTCGTGTTGGACATTTGCCATTTATTTTATGAGTTGGAAACTGCCATATATAGTTCCTGTTTCGGACATAGTTCTTAACCCTGCATATGGCCTTCTCACAGAAGTACACGACATGATGCACTACAACAAATTGCACTATTCCCGACGCTTATTCCCGACGCATGGTTAAATACGTCGCCAAAAATTGTGTTTTTCCCGACGCATGATTAAATACGTCGCCAAAAATTGTGTTTTTCCCGACGCTTTTAATTAGCGTCGGCAAAAAATATATTTTTCCCGACGTTTATAATTAGCGTCGCTAAAAGTGTATATTATTAGCGACGTTTTAACTTAGCGTCGGTAAAAGTTATGGATTTCCCGACGTTTTTTCATTTTCGTCGGTAAAAATATATATATTTAGCGACGTTTCAGGATTGGCGTCGCTAATAGTTTGTATTTATCGCGACGCATTAAGTTAACGTCGCTAAAAGTCATCTTTTCCCAACGTACTATTTGGCGTTGCTAAAAGTTATATCTTTTACGACGCTACTTTACTCTTCCGCGTCGCCAAACCCCCCTCCCCGCCGAAATTTTTACCCATTCATTTTCACGAAAGCCAGAAACCAAATAAAGGGAGGGAAAATTCCCCCCTTTATTTTCACGAAGAACCAAACCCCTCCGTTCTCTCTCTCTCTCAAAAAAAATCGGCCGCCTCCGTGCTTCTTCTCTGAAGTTCGCCGCCTCCGTGCTTCTTCTCTGAAGTTCGCCGCCTCCGTCGAAGCTCACCGCCGCCAAACCCCCCCGTTCTCTCTCTCTCTCTCTCATTCGAAAATCGGCCCCAAACCCGCCCGTGCCTCTTCTCTGAAGTTCGCCGCCTCCGTCGAAGATCACCGCCGCCATCGTCGGAGTTCGCCGCCTCCGTCGGATCTCGCCTCCTCTCCTCCTCCTCCTGCTCAACGAGGAGGATCGTAAGATCGGTAATCAAACCCGCCCGTGCCCTAATTTTTTTTGGGTATTGAATTTGCCCTAATTTTTTTGGGTATCTTAGTATTTGTGATTTCTCCATAAGTATTTGTGGACATCTACATGAATTCTCCGTAAGTTTTTACTGGGAAATTTGAACTGATTCAAGGAGATGATGAACCTGTTTCATTGATCTCTTCACTATTTGGGTCCTGCTCCTACTACTCAAAATAAAATTGGATGATTCCATGCATCTAGTTTAATTGTTCTCTTTTTCCTTATTAGATTTTACATTAAAGATTTACTAATGAAACTATTAAAAAAATATACATCCTCCACTAAAACCTTTCCATAAATGCAAATCTATGCTATACCTAGCTTAAGCCTTTTATTTCTTGCCCGAACAAACTTCAGAGCAGTCAAATACCAAACAACAGTCTAGCCCTGGGATAAGGGGGTCCATCATGATTATCATTACTAGCTATTATTTTAATTTCCTTTTAATTTGGTTATGCTGCACTGAAGATCATATTGTCAAATTATTGGCTAGTTGCAGACTCCTACAAATAACTATATAACAGGAGCAAGATGTTAAACACTTTTTTATGTTATGTCACATATAGAGATATGATCTGAAGATAATCTTAATTAATTATCACTTATTTCCATGTTCACTGGCCGATAATTAAAGGCATTGCAAAGCTTGACCAAGGGATGTGTTGTAGAGGTATTTCTCTATATTTGTTTAGTCACGGACCTACTTGGTCCCTTTCATATTAATTAACGATGAAGGTCACTTAGTGTAATCTCGGGATAATTGATCATTGCCAATGGAACTGTTTTATATTTCTAATTAATTACGCATTCTAATATCCTAAGCTACAAAAAAGAAGCACGTACATGAAAGGATTAGCCTAGCCGCTTCCTCAGTTAGATTAATATATGATACTCTTATTGTTATTGATGAAGTGCGGAGTGGAACAAAAAACGCACATAGGAGGTAGGTATAGATACGGCTCATAAAAAGTGGAATAAAAATAAATTATCTGGATCAAATCACCATGTTGATTTATTTACTGCACATTATGGAGAAGTACATTTGAGGGCCACTTCTTCTTTAAAGGATCTTTTATTTGTTATTGAATATTCATTTGAGATGCTACTTTTTATTTTATGATAATAAATTAATATGAAACGTAAATCAAGTAATTTGTGGGCCACTTCTGCTTAGATCCATTTCCTTTTCTTCATTTCATTATTTATGTTGCGAACTCTACATTTAAATTTATGGCTAAATTTCACAAAATCCCCAATACTTTAGGGTGTTTCCCACAATACCACCAAGTACTTTGTTTTTCTGGGTTAAACCCCAAAACTTTTCCCACTTAACCCCAAGTGACGAAAATACCCATATCATAAAACATACTTCTTTATTTTCATCTCATTCTCTCTTCCCCTCCCACTAACCCCTATATGAGAAAAAGAAAGAAGAGAGAGGAGGGGTTTTCTTGCATATTTTTGAATGTGAGGTTTTTTTAAAAATTTAAAAAGTAAAAAAAAAATTATGTTCAGCGGCATTTTCATCACTTGGTGGTTAAGTGGGACATGTTCTAGGTGTTTAATGGCAAGAACAAAGTTATTGGGAGTATTGTGGAAAACATCACATAGTACTTGGGGGTTTTGTAAAATTCACCCTTAAGTTTATATTCACAAAAAAATTCAAAAATGCAAGTAATTGGTTAAAACAGTGAAGCTTATGTAACTTCAAAAATGGGAATACTAGAATGAATCAAAACCTTAAATGTATCTTATATGGTCGCAATAGTCCAAGAACTGAACTTTTTTTTTGAATGTTACCATACAGTTGTTTTGTGATTTTAATTGAATTTATAAGTTAAAAGATTTTGATATTTTCCCATGGTACATTTACTTAAGGATATGTTGATGATGTTATTTTTTTGGTTAAAACAGCGAAGCTTATGTAACTTCAAAAAAGGGAATATTAGAATGAATCAAAACCTTAAATGTATCTTATATGGTTGCAATAGTCCAAGAACTGAACTCTTTTATTTTGGAAGTTACCACACAGTTGTTTTGTGATTTTGATTGAATTTATAAGTTGGAAGATTTTGATATTATCCCATTGTACATTTACTTAAAGAGATTTTGATTATGTTATTCTTTTGTCGAGTTACAGAATATGATTACTGGAGCTGCACAAATGGATGGTGGAATTCTTGTTGTATCTGCACCAGATGGACCAATGCCTCAGACGAAGGAACATATTTTGCTTGCTCGCCAGGTGATTAACTTATTGCTTGTTCTGCTCACTTTTATTTATTCTTCAAGGCCTTCTTAGTCCTTCATATGCAATTTCTATTTTCACTTTGAGTGATTCTTTAGTCTTTACTTTCCTTCTGTGTAGGTTGGTGTGCCATCACTTGTGTGCTTCCTGAACAAGGTTGATGCTGTTGATGATCCTGAATTGCTGGAACTTGTGGAAATGGAACTACGTGGTATGAAGCCACAACTAGATAAATATTAAATTAATAAATGTGTGTTATAATGTTGTTGATACTCTTGAATTATGGGAATTCATAGAAATGGATCATCGCATGGAGTCATAAATGAATAATTGAATGTGTGCATGCTTGTGTGTATTGGTGATTCTATTTATGTCAAGCATATACATGCAAGCATCTATGCATATGTATTGATTTTTGCCCTATTTATCATACATCACCTTTGATTGGCAGAGCTGCTTAGCTTCTACAAGTTCCCTGGTGATGAGATCCCAATTGTTCGGGGGTCAGCTCTATCTGCCTTACAGGGGACAAACGATGAAATTGGGAGGAAGGCTATTCTAAAGTTAATGGATGCTGTTGATGAGTACATACCAGACCCTGTACGCCAACTTGACAAGCCATTCCTCATGCCAATTGAGGATGTTTTCTCTATTCAGGTGATCGAATTTCATTTCATTCTTATCTTGAATTTGTAGTTTGCAACTGAGTATGAATTTTCCTTTTAAACCAACAATGGGTCAGATATTTAATATAACTAGTAGGGTGCAAATGCATTGCATGGGTGACAATACTTGTTTTATGGTCCGATTATTTTTTGTAAGGAAAATGATGAAGCGAGTCAAGTGGACCAAAATAATTGCACGTGCATTGAAAACTATAAAACACATATATTAATTTAATAAAAATATTCCATTTAAAGAATATTAAGTTAATATTAATAAAATTAGATATTGGATTTTTGAGATGCTACTTTCCATTTTATGATAATAAATTATTGAAAAGTAAAATGTACAACTTGCTTTAGAGAGGAGTGTTAATATATTAAAACGACTGGTTTAATACCTAAAACTGCAACTACTCTTTTTCTTTGGATTTTTAGTACCTAAAACTTTACTGAAATTTGATGCTATCTCTTTTCTATTCCTTTCTTCATTTATGTTGTTATAATTCCACTTCAGAGGTAAATCAAGTTCTAACCTGTAACCATAATTGTAAGCCCATTTTTATGCCTGCATGTTATGCTGGCTCTGGTTGCTGTCAAGAAATCATAGGACACAAAAAACCTTCAAAATATGCAAGTAATGTTTGTAAACCAATTGGCTTCTTGTCCAACTTTAGATTAGGCAATTATTTTTCCTTATTGTATAAAAATGATCACATCATGATAGCTAAGGCATGCTACAATAGAACTTCCTAGTTATTGGTGCATGCTTCCACTATTGGGAGAGCATTTATTTGATTTCTTTGGCCAAAATTTTCTACTGCTTACAGTGTCCTCTATGCTTATATAGCTATGCAAGTGAATATATGCTGACTTCAGTTTGCTGAAAAAGGTTCCATTTTTATGTACCTTTAATTTCTTCTTATATTGCATATTGCAGGTTTAGATTGTTGTTCAGCAGAATAAGCTGAGGCATATTAAGAGCTTTACTGGTTGAGGATAAAAGCATTGTTTGGAGCTTCATTCTGAGAGTACCTATAGCTGATGGCACAGAGAGCTTGTTTGAAACGTCTCCAGAAGGAGTATCATGCACTTTGCAAGGTGTGTTTGTTTAATTATATATAATCCTTATACATTTAGGAGGCTGACATATTTTAAACATATAACCACCTACAATTTGGTTGAATGCATAAATTAAATTGGATGACTGGTTTAGTGATTTTTGCTTGCCGTTAATAGATTTAGATGCTATGTTCTCATTCTTTCTAACAAAGGATTCTAGATGTTGGCTAACTAACAACAGGTATAATTTCCCCCCTCTTGTTGTATATGCTGCAGGCTTTGCTCATCCTCTTCCTTGATGAGGTTACCTTTAGTCATCAGGAAACCCTTTATTTTCTGCTGACCTGCTGAAATACTTCAGGTGTAAAAAAAATTTTCCCAGTGCCAACCTAAGGCTTCTGACATTCCTACAAAGAAGTTCCTGTTCTACACTGTATGCGAGAGGCAAACACTGTTGCAGATGCACTATCTAAACTGGGTCATGTTCTTCCTCAAATCCATTTGTTCTTTGTAATTAATGATACAAATTTGATATTGTTGTTTCTAGTTTTCTTGATGTAATCTGTTTTTGAGAGACTTTATGTACTTGGGTATGCAAGAGGAAGTTTGTAAATTAACGCTTTTAGCACTCTAGGGGAAATGGAAAAATAGACTTTTATGTTGATGTGAATGGGATCAATTTTTTTGTGGATGTTCAGATTCAGTGTAGGCTTGTATTTGATAGAGAATGTATTATTTTTGGCGATGCAAATTAGTGTCGATAAGCGTCAGTAAAAGTAACACTTTTCCCGACGCTATATTTAGTCGCTAAATATAACACTTTTGCCGACGACATATTTTGTCACCAAAAGTAATATCTTTTAGCGACGCAATCTTGCGTCGGCAAAAATACACTTTTAGCGACGCGGAATGTAGCGTCGCTAAAAATATAATCTTTGGCGACGCATGATTTGCGTTGGCAAAAGTATACTTTTAGCGACGCAGAATAGAGCGTCGCTAAAAGCTACACTTTTGCCAACGCAAATCATGCGTCGCCAAAGATTAGATTTTTAGCGACGCTCATTTCCGCGTCGCTAAAAGTGTATTTTTGCCGACGCATTACCCTTTGCCGACGTTATGTACGTTGCCAAAAGTGCAAGATTTCCCGACGCCGTTTCGCATATGGAAAAATTCAGCATGCTTTTGCCGACGCAAAATAATATGCGTCGCTAAAAGATGTACTTTTCCCGACGCATGTCGCGTCGCCAAAAGTATACTTTTGGCGACGCAGTGTATTTGCGTCGCCAAATATTTTCCTTGACGCACTTTTGGCGACGCGTTAGCGACGCTGTATTTTGCGTCGGGAAATATTTTTCCCGACGTTTTTTAAACATTTGCCGACGTTTTTGTTTCGTCGGCAATGTTGTATTTTGTTGTAGTGATGGTTATGTAGATTTTGACATGATACTTGTGCAAATTTTAACATGATATTCATGTAGGCTATGATATGGCACTGCACTTGTGTTCTGAGATTAGTTGTATTTCTTTTATTATTGTTCCTGTATTAGAATCTCGGGTTTGGTGATTAGGGGTTTATAATTTGAGATATAAGGTATATACATGAGGGTTTCCTTGTTTGGATTATTTCGCTCGACGTACCTATTCTCGTGTTGTAAATTTCTAAATACTAAAACCCTCTTTAGCAAGATCAATGATTTTAGATCTATTATGTATTAACTGTATTTTCATATACAACGAGCCCTTTTCCCTTGGGGTTGGTTGTGATGTTACTCGCTAGCGCTTTGACGCTCGTTGTCCCTCCCCCTTTCAGGTAACGAGCCAGGAGCCCGGAGAGTCGCAGGTTGATGGCGATGCATTTTAGCTTCAGCTGTCTAGTTAGTTATATGTTTGATTTGGGGCTCCACTTTAGATTTTCTTTTGTGTAGACATTTGAGAGTCTTGTTCTAGAAGTTGTAAAGGCTGTGTGCCTTATTTCCTCTTGTCAGACATTTGTATTTGAGACTTATTGAGTATTCCAGTTATCTATTCAGACATTGACTATGTATTGCTGTATGTTGGATGATGAGATATTTATGTGATTTCATTTCATCAGTATTTCTTGTGTTATCTTTCACTTGCTTTTGTACCTACACCTGTTGTTGATTCTACTAGATAGATGTTAATTGTGATGGTGAAACATGTTATTGCACGGTGTGGTGCATGGCAGGTTTGACATTCTTGGTTTCACCTTGGACTGCAGCCTTGTGTGAACCCAGGGGCGTCACAAACAGCAAAAACTAAACAGAAAGCTGAAGGTGCAGTAATTTAAAAAATTTCAACTCAGTTCCTGGGCGTTTGTAAAACGTTGTGCTTAAAGCATTATTTGACCTACTCCGGTGCAAGGATCCTAAGGCCAAATTGCTTTCAGGAACAACAGTCCAGTACTCTGGTGTGCACCGACCCAGTACTGTCAAGATCTCCTTGATCTATAAGGCAAAGATCTCCTTGATCTATAAGGCAAAGATCTCCTCGATCTATCAGGCAAAGATCTCCTCGATCTTTAAGACAAAGATCTTCTCGATCTATCAAGCACAGATCTCCTCGATCTATAAGACCTTCTCGGTCTAGGCACTGTTCCTACGAGCACTAGCTATTCTACAACCAGATCTCCTCGATCTATAAGACCTTCTCGGTCTAGGCACTGTTCCTACGAGCACTAGCTATTCTACAACATATATATCTGTATATATTGATTCTTCTCGGTCTAGGCACTGTTCCTACGAGCACTAGCTATTCTACAACATATATATCTGTATATATTGATTATTGTTTTTGGAATGAATTTTCCTTAAGGATTTGAGGTCTATTTATAGTATTTGAAAAAACACTATGTACTAATAAAATAATATATTTTACTCTGCATGTAGGTCCCACATCCAAAATTTTCTCCGGTGGGGCCATCACTTTTGAAAAAATAAAGAAAACATGGGCTGCTGCGGCAGACCATGTGAGGTTTGAAAAAATATTTAACACTCCCATGGTGATCAAGATTATTTTGTGACTGGAATTTGTGGCGTGTTAGTAGCCGACTGAACGTTGCTTTTTATTGAGGGTTCTTACAAGGTTAAAAGAGGGGAAAATAGAAATAAAAGAAGGAACAGTTATAAACTAATTTATTAGGTGATTAAATCCTGATTAAGAATTAGGGTTTAATAGGAAACACGTGCAAGACGAGTGTTATTAATGGGAGTCAAATTTGATAGTTAGGTTAATTTAGCTAAAAGTGACTAGAAGTGGTTGATTTCAAAAGAATCCTATTTATAGGTAGTTTGCATTAAAAAAAATCAAAGATACTTTTTATAGATTTCACCTATTTTAAAGGTGGTTACCATGAAAATAAAGAACCCCTGCCATTAATAAGGTTATCTTAAAAAGAAGAAGAAGCAGCAGCAGCTAATAGAGCTATATCCCTAGGCACTCATACAAGAAAAGTTCGAAAAAGAAACACATGGCCTCGCGGGTTTTGGTGGAGTATATGAATATGTGGAGTGTCGCAAATGTGGACAATGACAATTCGATTCATTTTATAGAGTAGGGCCTTTTTCTAGCTCATTTATGTGGTTCCTACATTTTTGTTTTTGCCTTTGTTTTTGTTTTTTATGTTTGTATCATTATGTGGTTCCTTCGTTGAGTTGCTATTTAATTTCTAGCTTCTTATCCACATTAATTTGATTCCCTGATGCGAATATATTGAACTTTAATAGAGATATTTGTTGGGGAATTTCAGTCTCCCCGCCTATCACGATATGCGCAACTCAGAAGCCAACCCCAATCAATAAGATAGAACAACCACAATCAAGAAAAAGAACACCGAGATTTACGTGGTTCGGTCGACCAACTTCGACCTACGTCCACGGGGCAACAATACGAGAAATTCACTATGTATCAGGGAGAACTACAAGAGGAACCACTTAACTCTCGTCTCTTAATCTCTCAACCTCACATACATAATCAACTCTCATATTCTCTCCAAAGCCCACTCCTTATAATCTTTTGCACGGATAAAGACTAGGAAACCCTCTCTCTCTCTCTCTCTCTCATCTACTACA